ATTAGAAACATTGAATCAATAATTTATATGAGAACCTATATCTATACGTGTATCATGAAATTGTTTGGCTTTTATCACTTGCAGGGACTCACGATGCTCTCTTTGTCACTCTTCGTAATCACGGTGACGAGTTTTCCGATTAGCAACAACTATAACAGGCGCGTGTACAATTATTTTCCCGCAGCGCAATATGTTCGAATTGTACCTCCGCAAATAAGACTAAATAGAGCTCATCATTTCGGAGAAAGAAATTTTCACATGAATAATATATATCTACGAAGGACTGAACAAAATGAGCCCAAGGATAATCACTGTAAGTACTGTGATAAGAAGACATTTTTACATTTATATACTTATTAATTTTTAAGTATGATCTAATGTTTTACTACTTTTACTACTATTGAGACATGACGAATGTAAAAATAGTATGTCGAAAACGTAACGTCGAAGAAATTTAATTAAAACATTATGTAATAATTATTTAAGAATTTATTTTTTCCAATAGAGCATGACTCAATGCAATTAATGTCTACTGACGCTATGGACAAAACTATAACTTCCTTGAATTAATGTCTACTGACGTTATGGACAAAGCTATAACTTACTCGAACGATAATAATCCTAATAATTTTAGTTGCAGAATCTCACGTCGCATATTTTAAAAACGAGCATAGTGGCGAAGGTGGTTACAAATCGCAAGAGAGTTTCGATGACGTATCAACTGGTGCAGATGGCGGTGAATACAATGGTCAAGTATTAGATCATCATGTGCACGAAGATGTGCAGAAAACGGTGACTATCATAAAGAAAGTCGCGATGCCCTATCCGGTAGAGAAGACTATCCGATATCCTGTAGTGAAGAAGATACCGTATCCGGTCAAAGTGCCCGTCCCGCAGCCATACGCGGTCGAGAAGAAGATACCGTATCCCGTAAAAGTAGTCGTCAAAGTCCCTGTTAAGATCCCCCGACCGGTACCGGTCATCAAAGAGGTTCCATATCCGGTTAAAGTGCCGGTGGACCGTCCTGTACCGGTCAAAGTGTACGTGCCGAAGCCGTACCCCATCGAGAAGAAGGTGCATTACGAGGTGAAGGTCCCGGTAGCGCAACCTTTCCCTATAGAACGAAAAATACCGGTACCTGTGAAGGTGCCGATACACGTACCACAGCCCTACCCAGTCGAGAAAATTGTTCATTATCCCGTGAAAATTACAGTGGACAAACCGATACCTGTACCGGTGGCGAAACCGTATCCGGTGCCGATCACGAAGCCGGTACCGTATCCGGTCGAGAAGCCGGTTCCAGTTCCGATTAGAGTGAAGGTAGAAAGACTGATCCCGGTTCCAGTGGACAAGCCGGTACCCGTCAAGGTGAAGGTTCCGGTACCGGCGCCATACCCAGTCGAAAAAACTGTTCCTTACCCCGTGGAGAAATTCGTACCTGTGCCGGTGAAGATACCGGTAGAGAGGCTCGTACCGATTCACGTGAGCAAGCCGGTCGCGTATCATATCGAGAAACCCGTTCCCTACCCGGTTAAGGTGCCGGTCGCGGTGCCAATAGACGAACACGAGGAGCACGATGTAGGGAGTATCGATTACGTAGGATATGAGCATCCATGAAAGTAATTCACGTGATTAGGTGACAATGGTACAGTACAGTAACAGCTGATAGAGGCTTTGTACTTCAATATATTCCTTACGAATCGGTCGATCGAGGAAACAAAAGCCTATTCTGATCGTATGTTTAGCTCTAAATGGAGTCGTCTGGTCCTCAAGCCAAAGTTTGTACGCGATTCTTGCGCATAATAAAATAAATGAAACTTTACATTCAGATCGGCAATTTTAATGCTAAGTGTATGATTAGAATGCAGCTTGTAGAATTTGTAAGCAGGTCTTTGATACAAGATATACCGTAGCATAATTAAGTATTGTTATTCCCTTTCTCTAAGGGATATTTATTTAGTTTATATGGATCTTTGTTTTGTACGAATATATGTTACATATAACGCCATCATTGCAATTGTTTCCTGTTATTGCACTCTATGTTACGATGGAATCATTTTTGTTACATTGTATAATAATCATACAATATATACGTTACGATAGGTACGTATATACGTTATGTAATTGAACGGCCATGATTGAATAAAATTATTTCCGATCAAGTCCAATCACTACCCAGGTAGCATTTGGATACTCTCGATATAATTTTGAAAAATTCGGTATGATCGATTTGACACCTTTTCCCCGAATCAACATCGATTAGAGACTCGCCAACGATCAGAACGTATAAAAGAAGATTTATTAATGCGATAAGTTGATGTCGGAATCTAATCGAATCAATGTTGGCAATCAGTTTCTTGCGATAAATGACCAATACGTATCGCTCAAGCCGATCGGCGCGCCACTTTTGCTGTCGCCACTTCAATTCAAGTCACGTTCACTTTCGCCGCGTCGTAATTACACCGGTAAGATTGACATGTTGTAATTGATTTCCACAAAACAACGGTCAGTCGATGACATTGACCGGGATTGAGATTACGGAATGTTCGTCGTTTCCTCGTTGCTATAAGAAACAATCGATAGCGATAAGTATTCGTGGCGTATGTGTATCAGTCAATCGCCGTTAAAATCACGAGGAGATGAATGGACTGTTTTCTGCTTAAGATGCAGAACTGCTCCTTTCATGTTATAAGTTGTAAACATGTAAACGAACGAAAGAACACATAGGATTTTTTGAAATGCAAAACTTTACTAAAGAAATATTATACATATTTTGAACATCTTACTCGAAATTTTCTAATAATATTCCAAAGTAGAAATGCGAGTTACAATCGCAAGCGCGCGAAATTGTGAGTGCGCGATTATTTGCCATTTGCCAATTAACTTTATCACAAACAAATCATAGATACGTTACAATAAATCTGATTTGACTTGGACCGTGATCGCGAATGTGTTGTCACTTATTTACTACAGAAACGATATCGTTTTTGTTTTATAGAAATAAATTTATAGATATTTTCGTTATCTTTTAAATACCGCCACACATTTATAACCGCCGCGCTATCGTTTGTCTCTCGCCAGATTGCGAGATATATTATTAGTAGATATATCGATGCGTTGATATATATGATAGATAGAGAAGTGTATTTCTCTCCGAGTGTCTCATTTTTTTAGCGAAACACTTCCAGGTTTTGCGGGATACAGACGCGGTTAATGCACGCGAGGCAATTATAGGTACACGTCGCTCTTATATCACTTTATGCTTTTCTTTACGGCGAGTGCAAACTTTACGAAATAAATGATTATAGTTCACGTAATAAGTAGCTAAAGAGTGGTATGTGTGTGTATATGCGTGTGTGTTACGATTTCACTTGGATCCTTCCGTATTGTAAGAAATACCAGATCCGATTACCAGACTCGATTTGCTCATACATATATCCGAAGCATTATATTATTATTAAAATTACGACGAACGCGAAGAATTGCAGAGCGCGACGCGCGTTACTTCGAGCTCCTTTTTCTTCTGGCGTCAGCGCTGAAGAAACGAAAGCGACAAAACTGACAGCGCTCGGGATTGGAACCGCCGATGGCCAGACGACGAAGGGTTTTTCTCCCGATCGTGTCTCGGGGAAATATCAGAAGAAAGTTGCGAGAAGCGTATAAATATACGGTTAAGTGGTGTACAACCGCCACCAAAGCGGGAAAGTTCTGTGCAACTTCAACAAGGCAATACATGCGGAGAGCACTTTTACACCGGTTTCGGTTTCACTGGTGTTATTGATCCGAGAAATTCAATCGAATTATTCAATTTGTTATAGAAGAAAGCGCCGGCGATCATATAGCATGAATCGACACACGATATTTATTGGCAATAAAAAAGACCCGTATAATTTTCTCTTAATATACAAGAAAATCAATACGATGCTTAAACGACGCTATTCAATGGTTTCTGTGGCCATTACACAAGTAATTCAGTGCTTATTTAATGCATGTCGTAGCAATAATGAAGTCAATGCAAGATGTTTGGTTAAATTATGAAGTTTTGGTAAAGTTGTTCAATCTTTCCTATCTAAGTATTCTTTACGACTTCAGAATTTACCTATAAATTCGCAGCTTTCCACGTGTTGATAGAAAATCAGAGGAACCGTCGTTACCGGAAGTGCAGTTCGGAGAAAGATAACAAAAACACCAAAAAATTACTGCTCATTGGAAAATGTGACCAAATATTCTCAGGGAAGGTAAAAACTTCGTGGCAGTGCAAGGATCGGCTTGGTTTTACGATTCGGCATAGAAAGTATCCGCCCGCTTTCATCGGTCAATCGTAAATAACGTTACTTTTCCGACATCCACCTCGTATAGATTAATGAACTAAAGCGGTAGTGAACGGTGACGTGTGTATTGCCATCATACGTTAAACAGCTTCTATAAGAGGACTTTCTTCAAAAGATAATATTATTTTCATATCGCAACACGTTATTGCAGTACAAATTATAATGTATTTCTCTATTCAATGTTTTCCTTGACGATAAATTTCTTCCGGCAATGCGTTATTGTAAATAAAATATTCCTGAACAAACTTTTGTCACGCAAATTGTAAGTTATATAATATGTATGTTATGTAATGGTATATTAATGAAACATAACGTAAATAAAATATACTAGGAATGAGCCGTATTAGAAATTGAGCGTATGGAGAAAAGTTTTTCACAGAGAAACCTTCTCTGAAAGGGACGGAATGTGATTCGAACTGCTTACGCGTTTCGCCTTTTGCCGTAGCCTTAATGTAGGTAGCATGGTCGTTCCTCAAGAATGAGCCGTGCAGCAAAACAATGTGATCGTTTAAGCGTAGATAATTGTCACGAATAAGGTACTGCAAGGCTATAAAGGTCCAGCTGGTTGGACCGGCGAAAGTCGTCCACGGTGTATAAATAATAGAGAGATACCTTTCCGTTTGAATTCAGTATAGGTCGATCTATCGTCTTGATCGCAAAGACATCAGCATGGGGCACCAGGTGAATGCTTTAAATTCTGTACCTTTCGCAAAATAACATACTGAACCTTCTTTTGCGTAATTATGTCGATTCATAAAAAACTTAGTTATTTCACATATTATTTCATTCGTACGACAAGTGACATTTGTGATTGATTAAATGAAAAGAATTTAAATAACTTTTAATTGAATTGAAGATTAAAAGTTAATTAAATGACAATGATATAAACCAAATAATTTCTCTTTCATAGAAAATATTGTACTATATATTCGATAAAAAGTTTTTGAAGATTTCAATTTACTTTAAAATTATCTGTTTTAACGATCACACGATTTGAAATATCCGTCGTTAACTATTTTCATATATCAAGTTTAGATTATTTAGTATAGATTATTCATTTTTGTATAATGTATGCGTGTTCTTTTAAGCAGCAGCAGTGCCTAATAGTATTTCTATGTCTCGGGGTTGCCCTGACATCGTCAGCGAGTCGTAGAGAAGAGCTTGAGAAGGCAGCGGAAGTCGCTGTGGAAAAATCAGCCGAAAGAGCAGCCGAGAGAGCAGTGGAGAAGGCCCTCGACAGCGGAAACACCACTACGGAATCCAAAATCGTCCGCGAGTCTTATGCGAACATTAGAAAAGATCCGCAAAAAGAGAAGAAGGAGAATGACGATTACGGCAATAGGTATGTGCCGGTGGAAGACGAGGTGGAGCAAGAGGAAGACGTCGACGACTGGAGCACGTATTCTCGAGGTTCGAGATCTTATCCGCGAAACTTGAGGGGCAGAGGTTTTCGCGCATGGTCGAGCAAGCTCGATTTCCAAGACACATCGGATATCTGGAGAAGATTCCCGCGGAGCGAATGGTCTTACGAGGACACCATCTGGGACAAGCCAAGCGAGAAGGTTGTGACTTTAGAGAAGAAGGTTCCGGTACCCGTGACTGTCGAAAAGAAGGTGCCATTCCCTGTTTACAAGCACGTGCCGTACGAAATCAAGATACCGGTGCCGCAGCCGTACACGGTGGAGAAGAGGGTGCCGTACCCGGTGAAGGTGTACGTGCACGTGCCGGTCGAGATACCGGAACCTTACCAGGTTGAGAAGCAGGTTCCTTATAAAGTCAAGGTCGACAATCCCGTGCCGTACAAGGTCGAGGTGCCGGTACCGCAGCCGTACACGATTGAGAAGAGAGTTCCGATCGAGGTGAAGGTGCCGGTGCCGCAGCCGTACACCGTCGACAAGCCGGTACCCTACGAGGTGAAGGTACCAGTCAAGGTACCGACCCCGTACGAGGTCGAGAAAAAGGTGGCGGTGCCGGTAAAGGTGACAGTGGACCGGCCGTATCCGGTACCGGTGCCTAAACCTTACCCGGTGGAGGTTACTAAATCGTATCCGGTGGAAGTGCCCAAGCCGTACCCCGTGAAAATCAAAGTACCCGTGGATAAGCCGTATCCAGTGGCGGTGGAGAGACCGGTTCCGGTACCTGTTGAAGTGCCAGATCCCCGGCCGTACACCGTGGAAAAGCGCGTGCCAGTAGAAGTGGTGAAACCGTACTCCGTTCCGATTAAAGTGCCGCTGGATAAGCCGTACGAGGTGTACGAGGCGAAGCCAGTACTCGTCCCCGTGAAAAAGCCATTTCCTTACGTCGTACAAGTACCGGTGCCCGTCAAACTTGGTTGGAAAGATCGAGGCAACATCAAGGATAAAGAGGACCTGGCGGAGAGCGAGAGCGCCGAGACTGAGTGGCGGCGGCCGCGATGGTTAGATCACGAATCGTTCAAGCGATAAAATCGCAGAGGCATTTTCGAAATGCCGCAAGTAAATTACGGTATTAACACACACGTTGCACCGACTATCTTTTACGCCTAACGACGAGAAGTACATTCTATACAATTTGGAGAAAAAGATCGAATCCCACTAAAAGACTTAAGTTCCTCGTGTTTAGGATAATTCAGAGTTATATCTGCTGCATGATTTCTGAAGTTTCGTACCAACATGTAGGGAAATTTCTTGACTGTCGGATAATGACACGTTGACTTATCGAAAATATGATCGATATGTTTACGTAAATTTTAAGTTGAAATAGATATATACATGCGACAAACGAGTATGTGTGTGTTCGTTATTAAAAAATAAGATTATTGTGTATTGGTCAATTGTAGGCCAGTTGAAGCGGCGTTTCGTTCATTTAGAGTGAGGCAATTCGAAGCGACACGTGAATCCTAGAAAGTTGACGGTCTCTAATTACTCGAATGATCGTATCACTAACTTCTAAGCTCTCAAGTTAAATATAAGTAATCTTTTAGTTGCGCAATGACAAGCTCTCTATAAGATTCACGCATCGAGACGCGCATACGTGGATACGTATATTCAATTTTATTGGTTTATGTGTATTCTCTAACCGTTTCTCATATCTGTAAAAACAAAGCAGAGAAACGAAACGACCGTTTCTCTGCTTTAGCTGTCACTTCCTTGTCGATCGCGGGCGGGGGGAGATGGAGGGCGCTCGTGAAACTTTGGTAATAAAAGCAGAGCTCGTTCATTATTGGGCGTATCGTTAATTATGTAAAAAGTGCAAATAACGCTGCTAATCGATCCGCGCTCGCCGGACGATGCTTTTTGCCGTGACACCTGCGCGGATCGGCAAGGAGTGAGGATGAATTTTGCGTTTCTAACTGACAATGTCGCAACAGACGCGCATTATAGAAAATAAAACCGCGTCTTTCCGTTCGAGCACAATCGCGAAATAAGGAAATCACACAAGACTTTCGCGTGACGGCAAAAAATTGTTTTAATGTGACTTAATGGCGACAGACAGAGAGAGAAAGAGAGAGTTCTTGCACGCGTGATCGGTCAACTTTAGTCTGGCTGGTTCCAACATTCCTAAATACGCGTGTCATCATGCTTCGTCCCGCTAATGGTTCACAATAACATGCCGTGTGTGCGTGTAGTTGCTAGTGAAACCGCAAGTTCTATCGGTATCATCAACAATATTCGCGGGAGGCTCCAATCTTGAGCTCTGCTCCAATTTTACCCGGCGTAACGTTTAACCATTCACTTTTTCCTTTTTTTACAGCAATAATTAGTTTCGCTCGTTGCTACTCATTTCTTTCCTTCGCTCTCTATTACCTACAGACACGTATCTATTTAATATCTATCTCTGGATGGAATTGAAGTTGAAAAAAATTAAATTGAAAGCTAAAATGTTAATTGAAATTAAATTGAAGCTGAAAATGCGACTGTATCACTTGTATTCTACACAACTGTGAATCGTCCAATTCGTCAAATTGTAGAATAATTCTGATTTGGCATTTGCGCCACCCCTTCTTCCTCAAAAAACAAGACAATATAATCCTTTCGCAACTCATACTCTGCGAATTATAATTGGATATTATATCTATGCATAATTATATTCTGCGTTTCTGCTTCTCAGCGGGCAGCTAATAACAATATTGCGTCATATTTACCCAAGCGTCTATGTGTTCCATGTTTTCTCTTTCGTCCATTAGCACGAGTAATAATCTTGTTCGTACATTTTCTAATTGCAGCGACCAATTAGACCGGCGGCGGCCAAGTCGAGTGCAATTACGATCGCGCTCTTTGTCGCCTTGTGCTTACAGACGTTTTCCTCGCGGCCGCGGTTATTTCTCGCGTTATCAAGTCGCGACGCAAGTACAACGTTATTTCTTAACAGAATCGGCTCCCCTACGGCGGATCCAACGTACGCGGCTGGTAAACGGCGCACTTACGCAGCCGATTGGCATAGAACGCTCCGTGATCTACGTCTTCTCTTTGCGTCGCGACCGTTCCTCTCCTCTCCCGCGACTTTTCACGTTTTCTCTTCTCGTACCGTCCCCGCTTCTTCCTCTCGCGCTCTCCCTCGGACCGCAGCGGATACCGTTAGGCGTCGTCTTGTTCCTCGTCTCGGCCGAGAGAACTCGTCTGCAGCCTGCTGCAACCGTTGCCGTATCTTACGCGCGCGCTCGTCCTTCCGTGGCGACCGGATACGGAGGGGATTATTCCGAAGTTCTATCGGACGATACGAGAAATCTCCATGAGATGGAGAATAGCGGCGGGAGATTGGGTGCTCCGTCAGAGGAGGGGGATGATGGTAGGGAAGAAATGAAAATGTATTGACATGTCCAGTGGCGTAGACGCAGACAGGACCAAGAGGATCACGATCGAAAATTGCACAGTGTGTCCAATAGAGAAGTTTAAAACGATGAATATTATAGAATATTGAGATGGTCTGCACTCTTCTCGCGGAACAACCTTTACTAATTCCTAATTAAACCTTATTAATTAATTATTAATTATTAATTAACTTTATTAATTAAATGAATTAAACTTAATAATTCACGAACTTCGACGCAATATTCGCGCATTTTTCTCATTTTTTCAATTTGTCACCACGAGATTCGCCATTTGATATCGTTCGAAATTTTACGTGTTTACTTATTTAAGTAAGAAATGTATTTATTAAATGTGAACTCCTTCGTTTTCTACGAATGTACTTTCTAATTTTAGCTTCTATTAACATCGCCGTTATAGGAACTTCCGGTGTTAGTAGATCGATTCGCAACGGCTACGCCGATGGTCAGGATTATGGAAGCGTCGTCGTCTGTGCGTAGGATATATACACACATATATATATAAAAGCCACACGCGTTGCACGTCGGGCGAGCACCAGACGCGTGTGTTTCACTTTTCCGCGAGAGTGCAGAGGGGCTCGCTTGATACGCGTCGGGGGGAAAGCGGGCTATAAAGACGGTGGTATCTTGGGGGGAAACATCCAGTAAAGTCTGGACTTTGACCAGATCGTGAGAGACCGGACAGACATGAGAATTTTGGTAAGTTCAATCTTCCGCGCGCGCGTTGAGTAGAATTAGTCGCGGGTCTGCTAATCAGCTGCGCTTGGCTCCCTCGTTCACGCCATCCAACTGAACTTAAGATTTCACTTCGATTAAGTGTCAGAAATAACAACAGCAGCCGCAAAGTGCGATTTTTTTTTCAAGATTAATTAATTCCACTTGTGATCTAATCACAGCAAAGTTATCGTGTTTCATTGAGAATTATGGTAAAGTTAACAAGGTATATCGCGTTCATAGGATGAAAAATCTCGATGGCCAAGAGATTGACATATGAATTTGAGTAATTTTGCATCTTTGAGTAGTCTCCATGCGCGCGATATTCTCGGCATTGATAACTGAAGCTATCTGCGCGAGTCCAACGCGCGAATGGCACTCCTTCCATGAAGTAGAGCCGCAAGCGTGTGCAATTGATGCATTCGCCCACGAGGTTTCTATCGATTGCAGTTTCTCACGGTGTTAACGGGGCTACTGGCCTTGGCCGTGTGCGAGAAGGAGATCGAAAATGCCGGGGATCTGAAGAAGCAGAACAAACGGGGGCTGAGTCACATCGAGGGAGACTTCGGGGGACACGACGACGGCGGTTACGGCGGTGGTGGCGATTACGGCGGCGGTGGTGGCGATTACGGCGGTGGCGGCGACTACGACGGCGGTCATGATATCGGCGGTCACGACAGTGGATACGACGGTGGTTTTGGCGGTGGTTACACCATCGGTGGCGCCGGCGGCGACGACGGCGGCAAAGTCAAGCAAATCACGATCGTGAAAAACGTGAAAGTACCCTACCCGGTGGAGAAGAAGGTCCACTATCCAGTAGAGAAGGAAGTACCGTATCCGGTTAAAGTGCCGGTACCACAACCCTACCCGGTCGAGAAGAAGATACCGGTACCGGTGAAGGTTTTCGTGAAGGTGCCAGTTCACATACCACAACCGTATCCAGTGGAGAAGAAGGTGCCTTATCCGGTGCACGTGCCCGTGGAGAGGCCGGTGCCCTACAAGGTGTACGTCCCGCAGCCATACCCGGTCGAGAAGAAGATACCTTACCCGGTGAAGGTACCGGTACCAGCGCCGTTCCCGGTGGAGAAGCCCGTGCCGTATACCGTGAAGGTCCCGGTGCACGTGCCGCAACCCTTCCCCGTGGAGAAGCCGATACCATACCCAGTGAAAGTGCCCGTCGAGCGACCGTACCCGGTACACGTAATCAAACCATACCCGGTTCCGGTAGAGAAACCGGTGCCTTATCCGGTGGAGAAGAAGGTACCCTACCCGGTCAAGGTACACGTGGAACGACCGGTAGCAGTGCCCGTGGTGAAGCCAGTGCCTGTACACGTGAAGATACCGGTGCCGGCGCCGTACCCGGTGGAAAAGCCAGTACCCGTTCCGGTGGAGAAGCCGGTACCCTACCCCGTAAAAGTGCCTGTCGAGCGACCCGTACCGGTCCACGTGACGAAGCCGGTGCCTGTGACGGTACCAAAGGCGGTACCGTACCCCGTGAAAGTGCCGATAGCGGTACCAGTGCACGATCACGATCATGGTTCCTCGTTTGGTGATTACGAATCCAGCTTTGGGGGACACTCCGGGGGATATTAGTATCAAAGCGCATGGCAGTGGAGGATTTTTCGCTCTCGGCTCGAAGAAAAACTGACGCATACGGCAAGGGAGGAAGTCCCGAGTGAGAGAGATAGACAGGGGACGATACGATAGTACCAAGAAAATTCGTTAATCTGAGAAATTCGTTAAGCCGAGAAATTCCGATCAAAATGTTGTATATAAGAGAACGGAAACATACACGAAGAAAGTTTCACAGTCAAAATTACTACAGGATTTTGTAGCCGAACAGATCGATATTCTGCAGTAATTCACTATCCTTTCATTTTACACGCTCTACTTGTATTTTGGGAATTGTAATACGCTGTTAAAACACTGGTTATATTTCTAGCGAAATTTACTGTGTTTGTAGCGAAATTTACTATGTTTGTAAACAAAACAGACCTCATTGAGTCTATTTGATAGTCTATTAGACTAAAAACATAGTAAAATTGAAAAGGATTAATATGTAAAAAGAGCTATAATATTCTCTCCGTGTATAAAGGCGGGAATGCAATTAGAATTAGATAATCAGAGCGGGTTAATCGTGGCGATAAGATCCACTTGCGCAAGTCCTTCACTGCATCGCACGAGCGGACGCGTCGGCGCCCGCACTTTGCACGTCGCAATGACACTTTTTCTGCGTTCTCCTCTCTTTAATAAGTCGTAACGCGTCGTAACGTGGGAAAGATCCAAAAGCTCCAAAAATTGCGTGATTTGTAATGAGTAACCGGTCGACTCAATCGGGAGCGTTAAAGAAGCGTTTCCTTGGCGGACGCGCGACACAGGTGTATTCGCGCGCTCGCGAGGGAAACGCGGACGTATTTATTTTCCTGCGACTCGACGTCGTCCCCTCAACGTCGCGAGGAAGATGAGTTTGCAGAAGCAGCCGCTCTTGCGTCGCGAAAGGCGATTATGGTTGCCGCGAGTCCGCATAGACAGCGCTAACGATTTCTTAGATATAGTACCGACACTTAAGTACCTACGAACACATGTTGTACTATGTGTTTTTAATGACGTTTGTAAACAGATGTCTCTGTACGATGTCTTTCGCTTCTTTCTAATAAAACCAAAGAGCAAAGCGACAGCCTGTTGTCAATTCACCTTGATCTCGTCGTCGCCAATTCGCACAACACACACCTGGACTCACTTAATCCTAGAAAGCGGATGGCACGCAGAAAAAAACGTAAGCAGTAAGCGGTAAGCACATTGACCAGCCACAGTCGATGATATTCTTCTCAAGGTCCACGAATAATCAATTGCGATTCGTCAAGTTTGGTGCCACTTAAAAGTCTTGGCTCAGATCTACAGTGTGCTCTTTGCTTCCTGTTTTTTTCTCTTTCTGTCTTCTTGATTCAAGTCTTAAATCTTTAGCCAGAAAAAAATTAGAGAACAAAAAAGAGGAAGCAAAGAGTGCATAGATCAGCCTTTACTGCTTACGTTTTTCTGTGCCATCTACTTGTCTCGACCCGTCTCGATTCCTTTTTTCCTCACGATATCTATTATACGATAGATAGTTCCGATAAATGTGCCTTATGATTCCTTACACTATCTTCTTGTGAAGGAAGCTAAGTTACGAATCGAGCTGAAACGAACCAATGTAGATATATGGAGCGTATTCTGCGCTCGTTAGAGACAGAACAGTCAGGAAGGCGTCGATCGAGCGTGACGACGATCTTTTTATGTATTCGTCGCGTCGGCGACAATATCCTTGAACTTCGTGCAGCATGATGAATCGCTTATTCCCGATCTCGTGCGCTCGGCAACGCGCGACACTCGCCCCGCCCGGGGCTTACCTGTTCACGAGGGAGACATCGCGCTTCTTGTTCCGGTAGAGACCCGGAAGAGATAAGAGAACCTGGGCGAAAGTCGTTCTCGCGATTTTGGCCGTGCCGGTGCACGCGGAAATTCGCAACCGATAATTAAGTCGCCACCGCCGCCGACGCGAGGCTCTCATGAGTAATTAACCTCGTGCGATGCGATGAAAATGGAACTTTCCTTTATCTAGCATGACTAACGAAGGAAAGAGCGCATACGTAACATTTCCGATTCGATGATATCAGCGAGCCAACAACATCCTGTTCCACCTCGCGATCTATCATTTGGCATGCGGAGATTTCAGGTATTAGATCCCACAACTGCACTCATATCCCTCCAGCTGCAGCGCGCAACGATAGCCAGAGAAAGGGTCCCTTGCCTCTTTCTCCTCTGACTGATCCTCTACCAATGAGCAAATCACAAGAGAGGAGGAGCGCGAGATCGCGAAATCGAAAGTGAAATCACCGATCCTGCGCGCTCAGAATTGTTCGCGATGGAATTATTCGCTTCAGGCGCATTGGAAATCGCGCACGAGCGTCACGCACGCACTTCAAGTACGTAGCAAGTTCTATTTGATTATTATATCGTCAAGGTAGACATGTTGAATAAATATATCACATGTGATCCGTGAGAATATGTATTTACGCGTGTAAATACCTATCTAGTGTGTCGATCAGATAATGTGGTAGCGAAAATATCATTGTTTCCGCCGCTATTATTATTATTATCATTATTATTATTACTATTTTTATTATTGTTATTATTATATTCCACGTATTTAATGTTATAATTACAACCGCTTCAATTACCGAGATCGCCGAAGGCAATTACGGATTCGCCGTAGTGCAGCTCGGGCGATAATAATTTCGTTTATTTTACCGCCATTAATTCCCATGACTGTGCGAGAGGACTGACGGCTACGAGGATGAGACTCGTGCCGTAAATTGTAGAAATCGAAAGCATACTTGTGCACTGGCAGAAAAAATATCCAAGAAATAAAAATATTTATTCGCGGTAGTTTACTTATATGAAATATTTCTCAAACAAGGAAATACACATTTTCTTAAAATCCTAGATTTTTATAAAAGCAATTGCCTATTGTACTTAAACAGAATTTAAGAGAATTTAGTTTTTAGTAAATATTATTAGTATCCATCGCGCGAGTAAATATTTACTCAAAAAATGTTTTTGCAGGCATAGCGAAAATGAAGGAAGGAAAATGATTTAGACATGAGAAATTAGTTAAAGTAAATAAATATCTAGCAAACATCGCGATATATATCGCATATGCTGTGTATTTAATCAATATAAATGACAGACAGAATTTCTGTCTGAGCCATTTATGAAATTTAGACAAAAAAATTTTTTTGGTAAATTTAGCAAGAAAGTCTCTCTGTAGCGCGAAGTAAGAACTGTAGAACGTATGTTATATGTAAACGAATGTATAATTCTCACACTCACCTAAATTTGCTTACAGATATTGTTAGAATGTTGTTGCTGTAAATTCTACGTTCCAGCAGATACAACAAATTTTCTAGCAGATATAAGAGACAGCGATAAATCTTAACTGTGATATTTAGAATTCTGGTTCAGCAAAATATTTTCTTGAGTTTTTATTTTTTAGATACTCTGTTTCCTCAGTGAGTGAGAAATGCGAAAGCAGTGATTGGGTACTCACCGTATGTATGGAATATTGGCCGGGATGTGATACTTCGCACCTGGATCGAAGTCGTCCTCGGACCTCAGTACCGGCGGTTTCGTGCCCGTATATTGCTCCATCAACCTGTGCCAGTGGCAATTATACTCCTCTCTGTTTACGTAGCCGCGGAAGACGTCCCATCGCCACCTGTCCATTACGATACTGAAGGGCAACAGTACCAGTTTCTCCATCGCCAGTGAGAAGAGATAGTTAATGTCGGCCGCGCGCTCATCGATAAATTTGTTCGCCAAGTCCAGGGTTTGCAGGTGACGCGGCGTCGCGACGCTCAAGGCGATGGCCTCGCCGACAGCTTCGTGGAATCCTGGTAAATATAGCGGTGGTTATGGTAAGTACAGTAATTCTCACGGTATGTATGTGTACAAGGTAAGTATTACTGGTCCTCATTCGAGTACAGCAACGTTTACTCGTAACGATATAGCAACTAGATGAGAATTAGCGAAGCCTGTCGTTTATCTTCCCTCAGAGATTGTTATATAAAACAACGTTCATGTCTAATTCGTAATAATTAACAAATTGACGTTGAAAGCGTTACATTATCGTTGAATATTAAAGTTATGGATATGATGAGAGTTGTAACGACCTTCTTTAGTTATGTGCGCGATAAAACCTGTAATTTTTATCCCACTTTCGGCGCTATGACTACGGAATAAGCGCTTTTTAAAGTTCGATTTTATGCTACTGGTTTGTTATCTGGTGAGACACGAGCATTTCGCGGGAGTTTGGATGTGTGATAATCGATCGGTGAAAGTAGACGTCAGACGAAACAGATGGTCTGTCGCTGAGTTCCTTCTACGATTATTGCCGAGGTTTCTCGAGGTTCTCCGGTTCATTTTCGCGCGGATAGCCCGGTGGCTTTTTGATGTGATGTGATTCAGTGTTAACCAGGATGTAATTACGCGTCGGATAAGTCAAGCGTTGCAGATGACGCTGATTATTTCCTATTTTTATCACGTTTCCCTGTGCAAATTGCCTAACACTCAAACGTGTGCAATTAATTAAATCGTAATTTCGTAACTCGGATTTAACGTTCATCGCACACCACAAATATACAGATTACCGATAAAAACTTGGATAATAAATACCGCGCGAACGTGCGCGGCATATGTAAGACTGCGCCAAGATATTTTCCATCTTCTCAATTCACGATTTGTGAAAAGGTAATCAAATAAATAGATATAGCACGATATTACGATATATATACTATTATAATATCTTCTTAATTGTGAGAGCTTTGCGATGGAAATTTTTTACATATTCATATTAAAAATTTGTCATACACTGGGAAAAAATATCTAAAAAATAAAAATATTTATTTGATGGGCACTTTCTAATATATAGCAATTTACTTATACACGGAGAGAATATTATAGTTTATTTATATATAAACTCTCTTTAATTTTACTATATGTTTCTAATACTCCACAGATAAACTATCAATAAGTTTTATTTTACTAAAGAACATAGTAAATTTCGCTAAAAACATTGCAAGCGTTTTAATAGCACATTTTAGTTCCTAAAATATAAGTAGCACATGTGAAGCGCAAAAGGTTACTGAATTACTGCAGAATGTCAATCTATTCCTCGGTTATCAAATCCTATAATAATATTTACTATAAAATTCTCTCCGTATACTAATCTGTACATATATAAAATAGAATGTCTATCTATTTATATGTTCTCTATAAACTTCTAAACTCTGACCGATTTGCATAGTTACTCTTTAGGACTCTGTGGAAAATATAGACTACCATGAAGTCTGGACATTTCACATTTTGCCTCCCTCCTCATTTCATTCTCTTGATACTGTATAATAACCCGGGCAACGGCGAGTAATTTAAACTAGTATAAAATATTTTTCAAATAAGAAAATACACATTTTTTAAACTTTAGCTCTTCATGAAAACAATTGTTGATTCTATTTAAATAAGAGAATTTAGATTTAGGTAAATATGTTATGTTAATATTCGTCCCCGAATATAAATATTCGGTTTTACTCTAGATATTTAGAGGGTTAATCATGAATCTTTTCCTTAGAGTAAATTCGTGAAAAGTGCAAAATCTAATCTTGGAAATATATGGAAATGTTCACATCTCACGAGTTTACATTGGAGGAAAAGACTCATAATCGCCTTCAAGCACTGTAAAATTATTCATTTTTCATGATTTTATGCTAAGGGAAACAATTACATGATTGATAAGTAACATCGAGTTCACATGAAAAGTTACACGATCGATATCCAGATTGATTGATCGGTCGATCGGGCAAGACCACCGGTTGCGAAGCTGTTCTCGTTGGTTCAAAACTGTCGGTCTTCCGGTGCGGGGCGAACGACCGGGCCGGCCGGCCGGCCATTGCGACGGTGAAAGCGCGATTATACCGTAATAAAAATATTTTAACATCCGTGCTCGCGCTCGACGCCAATGTACGAGTAACATCCACTCGCCATTCGCCTATTCGCGAATAGCGCGAGTAGCGCGCGGTGTACACCTGGAGCGTATCGCTCTCGCTTTCGCGCTATTAGCCGTAAAGGCACACGTCGGCTGTGCCTTCCGGAAGTCGAGCAGGAGCGGACGGTTCGATTATGTAACACGTGTCGTCTGTCCAGTGTGCATGCCATCATCGCCGGCCATCTCCTACCCTTTTGTCCTACTCCGCCGTTCGCGTTTTCCCTTCCTGGCGTGATGCAACCTCTCGTTATCACGTCCGCGTATCGTGATAACGAGTGTCAACATCGTAACGTGATGGCGCATGATTGATGATAAGTGTGATGATATATCTCTACGACAATGTTATAGTATTATCCAGCTACGCGTATTAATTACAGAAAAGTAATATTATTGCTAGCTCAAAGTAGTTCTATTGCTAGTTTATCCTCTGTAGCGTGGAATATTACAAAATGTCAAGGGGATGAAATCAGAGAGATATCCAGATTTCATGTAGCCTATATTATTTTTTCCAGGGTTTCCTAGAGAGTAACAATGAAAAATTTGGTCCAGATCGGTCAAGGGGTTTAGGAGTGTACAGGAAACAGACAGACAGACACATTCTATTTTATAGAAATATATACACTGAGAAAAAAATACTTGGAAATTTATTTGTGGGATAGAAAGTTTATTTTTGTAAAGCAAAATTTATTTCTGTGAAATAAAGTTCCTTTCTATTCAATAATCTTTACTTCCCACCAATAAATTTTTAAGTATACTTTCTTAATATTATATGTTTCTTAATATGTATAGATTCTCGTATTCATTTTGATGATCGCTTGGCCGCAAGAAAATTTGATCTTTATTATGCAATTCGTTTTGTCAAGTGATTATTAATTTTTATTTCATCATGTTTCCTATTAATTTTTTATGTTTGTTAAAATTTATAATCACGGGAAACACGGGATTAAGGGTAGTGTTTATCATGAAATTTTACGAAATGTGCAGTAAATCTAAATTTTAACCTCAAGAATGTATGAGTAATGATATGTATGAGTGTAATTTAATTGTGCATGTTCTAATTTATTTTTGCAGATTTTTATCCTGGTTTTATTATAAAGGGTATCAGAAATTGTAGATGTATTCTCATACCTGGATTTGCGCCATCACGAAATTCGCGAGGTAGACCGCTATACCGCAAGAAGTATTGGATATGTGCCATCTCGTGATGTACAGTTATCAGATCCTTCATTGTTACTTTTGTGCACATTTTAATCCTGAACATAAATAACAATAACATGAAAAATTCTTACCTTTATGTACGATATAATCTTTTGATACGTATAATCTCTAAAAAATTTAATGGCGAAAAATTCATAACACATTATTTCGCAATATATTGACTTGTATTGTTTCGTAATATGTTAATTCATTACTTTGCATACGTCACGAATGTATTGCTTAATATAATAACCTATAATCCAAGCGATTGCAGAAATCCCACGCGGAAGCTTGACAGATTAATGGACGATTACCAGGATCGACGATTATACTTCCGGCCCAGAATTCCGGCGGCATAGCACTCAAATTTATGGACAGATAGAAATCCTGAGCTACTCGGTACATATCGATCGGGGTGTATCCCTGTGCGCGTTAAAATAAAATTTATATTAGCATACAGATTATTTAATAACTATCAATATCGACTTTTACTCATGATGTGTGATTACGAGATTGCAAATCTTACCTGAGCTTGCATCTCTTGAGTGACGTCGAGATACGTTTTTCCAGGGTATGGTAAGGTAACATCCAAAAGATTGCTCCAAGACTGTCCCCATACGTTGCCTGTAGTAATTTTTGTTATTGCAACCACGATCAAAATGTTATTCGTTCGGTAAAAATTGTGTAAATGACGATACAAATATATAATGTACTATCTATACTTCCAATTGTAGAAGCAATAATATTATTTAAATTTTTTACATTATTTAATATAGAATTTCACAATATGAATTTTTCGCGAATTGAATATTTCATAAAACGTTGTTTTTACCGAGGATATGAGATGGAAGAGGTGCGTGTCCGCCGATTTTTTCGGGACCGTATAAATCTCGTAATTTTCTGCGAACGTAAGCGTGCAGCTCTTCGTAAAGCGGGCGAATCGTTTCCCAAACTTCTTCGATGTCCTGTTGGAAATTAGGCGATTCATAGGGGAACATCCAATATTCGGCGGCGTCGGTAAAGTCTACAAAAAGAAATAATGATATTGAAGTATTTGATTATTCTTTACTTTGGCCAAAAATTGGTGTCAATGTTATTTGACATACAAATCAATTAGCATACACAACTGTCAATTAATCCGAGTATCAATAATTTGTTATATTAAAGTTATATTTGTTATATTAAAATTTGTTATATTTACTTAATACAAAAATGATTATAATATTTATTTACAAAAGTCTACAAAAAGAAATAATGATATTGAAGTATTTGATTATTCCTTACTCTGGCCAAAAAGTGGCGTCAATGTTATTTGACATACGAATTAATTAACATACACGTTTGTCAATTAATCCGAGCATCAATAATTTGTTATATTAAAGTTATATTTGTTATATTTATTTAATACAAAAGTGATTATAATATTTATGACATTTTACAATTTTGCATGGAACATTACTTGCTGATTTTGTGTCAAAAATTTTATGCAAATTGTAGCATTGTAGTTTATTACACTTTGCTATAATGCTAAATTATGTAAATTATAATACAAATTTCACTTCAATTATAATAATAATGAACGTACTGTTCAATCTTGCCGCATCGTTATTCAACGTAACCAATTGCTGATAGAGATCTCTGATCGGTGCACCGCTGCGTCTTCTCCATTCGGTCCAGACGTACTGCAACTCGTCCCAGTCCCGACTTTTCGCCATGATCTGCGATATCTCTACAACAATGCACAAAGAACACGGTCGATGCCAAGGTTCGTGATTTTCCGGCGCGTTGCCATCCGTGCGATATCGTCTCTTGAATATTGTCCCACCGGCATACACGTTAATCTCGCGAACAATCTGTCCTCTTTTCTTTTTTTATCCCGATCTGCGTAATTTGTCACTCGTTATGAATAGACGATGAATAACTATTCGACCTTGTATAAAGGGAAAAATTTTTTTTACTTTAATGTATAAAAAGATACATATTCTTGTAGATTTTTCATTTAAATTTAGATATTTAATTTAATATCGGACAATTTTCATAGATTTTAGGATTAAGAATGATTCTTTTCAATCGCACTCAATCGCACCCTAGATTGTTAGTAAAATAAGCTTTGACTGGATAATATTATTAGTGATTTATTGCACCGTACATTTCTGTGAAAGTAATGTATTCTCGTAAAGTAGCCTAAATTGTTGTGAATAGAGTGCCAATCATGCGGGTTATATCGCCGAAAAGTTTCGAAATTTATCAATCCAATTAACAAGAAAGTTGCGCGAATCGTGTCGACAAGGAATCTTTGATCTTTACCATCTTTATATAAGTATCGTTACAATATGTAATTTCTTTTTAATAGAAAAATATGCACATCATATTTTTCAATATATTCTTCTCTTTTCATTAAATCAAGAAATATAACATAACTTCATTAATCATAATTTAGACTCACTTACGTCTTATCATTTGGAACGAGCTCTAGGCCGGCGGAAAAGTCGATGAACCGCGCAAATCGGAGCCTCATAATACAGCACGTGCTACTAAATATAAAGACTGTGTAACAATCGCTTGTAGGCGATTATGCACCGGCATGAACCATAAATTCTTTGTCGAGCCGCGAACCCACCTATTCCTTTTCTTCTTGTTTCTCGCGAAGCTCGAGCGCGAAAAGTTCTGCTCAAATCATCATTTCTCGCGGCCAGTCAGACGCGCCGGGGCGCAATTAGATTCCCGTGATAAATTACACTTAACTGCATAGCGTCTTCGCTTAAATAATTAATTATCAGCTTTCTACGTGCACACGTGCGGCAACGTACTATCGTGCCGTACCGTGCGTACTATCATCCCGAGGATGTGTTTACCTCGTGTCTAAATGAGCGTGCAAGAGTTTTACGTCGAACGCGAAAAAATAGCAGACAATTAGAGACGCATCGCGGCGGCAAAGGAGTCGTCGTAAATTAACGGAGGCGAGGGCGCGGTAGGGAGCTTCCCCGCACACGCGCATATTCCATTTCTTCACACTTTCATGCGCATTTTGGGCTTACGTAAATCTCCCGCGGCGGAATTTCGCCGCGGCGAGCCGTGAAGGCGGCGTGGCCTGTCAATTTGCTCGTTACGGAGCGTAACGAGCGATGCATTACCTGGATATAGGCGCAGTCCACATCGGAAGGGATCGTTGTAGGCGCATATGGTCGCCCCGTTATAAACTGCGAGCATATCGTTGATCAACCGATTGTACTGCAAAGGAGTCATTTCATTATATCTACTATCGACTTCCTATCGCACTGCCGGGTTAATAGCAATGCGGGCGTCGTGGTCACGCTTGAATTATGAAAGAAGCGAAGTAACGTGAAGGAACTGCAACTCACCCTGTCCAGCTGATCGGGCGGTAACGCCGAAGGACCCACGACGGACAAATACCTGAGACGTCGTCTGATCGTGGGATCTTGGATTGCATTCCGGTCGATTCTTGAGATTAAGTACCAGGCTTGGTACTGAAAATCCGCGTAAAGCCGTTGCGCCTCCAACTGAAATGGCAATGCATGACGTGTGTTGCGAACAGCTCTCGGAGAGAGAGAAAGAGAGAGGAAAAATATTCTTTCGTTGTAATTTCATACGGAGAGAATATTATACAATTTCTTCCTTTTCGTATAAATTCGATTCTCCCTTTCGATATTTATTTGTATTATATATGTTATATATTATATATGTTTATCTTATTTCTTTATTATATATATTAAATATTTTTATATTATATATATAATATCTTTCGAAATAATCTTTTTTACTTGATTACGCTGCAACAAATTTTGTGTTGAATTTAACGCATTTCATATGTCCCAATTTATCCAGTCTAATTTTTGTGTTAATTTAACAATAAGGCAAATATATTAATAAATAACACGACTGTACATATAAAATATGTTACCAATATGTTACCAAGCAAATACATGTTACAAATTGTGTTATTTTAACACTTATAGTGAATTCAAAAAAGTCAAAATAACACAACGATAATATGTTAAATTAACATACGAATATGTTAAAAGTTTAACACAAAAATTTCTACGTAGATCAATTTCAACACAAATATAAAACATTTTTTACTGTGTGTGTTTCTAGTAGTACGGGAATAGAGAGAAATTGATAAGATCTATCTTGGTAAGAAACATATAGTGAATTTTGCTAGAAATATAGTATATTTTTTAACAGCACATTTCAATCCTTAAAATATAAATATGGCGTATGAAATAAGAAGATAATAATTTACTGCAAAATGTCAATCTATTTTTCGGTTACAAAATTACATGGTAAGTTTTACTATGAAATCCTCTCCGTGTAGATAGATATACGCATAAATTTGTGTTAGTTCTTTCAAAGTGACGAAATTACATGTCCGTATGTTTTATCACGTTTACTCAATGTATAATTAGGTGACGGAATTTTAAGAGTATGGGAAGCGCCATGTGGCTATTGTTGTGTTAATTACATGACGTAAGCAAATTAACGTCGTCCACGAGCGATTAGCGAACGCAGTTGCAGTAAAGTCGCGAATCGACGAACGACGCTTTTACCGTTAGAGATAAAGCCGCTGTATCTACGCTCTTCCTGAAAGTAGTTTGCGTTTGAAGGAAAGCGGTTAAGAAAGTGAAACCGTTCATTTAAGCCCTTACACTGTGTTTAAAAACACAGAGGAAAAGTTTAATTTATGAAACAGAAAAATAGAAACAAGTAAGAAAGAGATGCCCTAATTGTATAATATTATATGATATAACAATTAATATTAGGGAAGAAACAGCTTGTGTGCGGTGGTTACGTAATATGTATGTACATGTTAATCGTAGTTACGCGTCGCGCAGTATATATTTTCAAGAAGGAAAATTCAGATTACCATCACGTAATATACAAGACACAATTTTCCTATCATTCGATTCGGTCATACGTGTCTCTGACAACACTCGTGTCAGTACAACCGTCTAAGAGATAGCTGTTAAAAAAGTAAATAAAATATGTAATCGATTTGATGACAGTTACCTACCAATATAGAAATTGATTGGGTGTACAAGCTCGGTAACCGCTCGTTACAATACATCGCCGATGCGATGTATCTCACGCGATAATGAACGAGTATCTGGTAGGGCGTCGGCTCGTGCGATACTTGGACGTTCTCTGCCGCGGAAAAGGAAAACGGCACTTCGCGATTATCGTTAACGTCACGCGACGCGAGTCTCGCCAGGTGTTTCGCATTGAGAAGTACAAAATTCCCATTTCTCGTTAATATGAGAGAGAGAGAGAGAGAGAGAGAGAGAGACGCGCGCGCGTCGCGAGATTGCAAAATCGTTCAGAATGACTATCGCGCGACAATGGCATCGCCTGGGAAGATTTCCCGCGGTGGCGTTCGGCCTTTCGCGGACAATGCGGGCGGTCTCGTGCCAGGGAAAATCGTGGTCGCGATGTCTACGAGGCAGCGTTGGTGTGCACGACCCATCCGTCGGCCGATGGATAAGTTGATGTATGCAGGCACCACGGACAATCGCGAGGTAGGATCGCGTGAGAGGAGGTCGAGGTCCCTACGAAAATGTTTCATAGGGTGGACGTGAGTCCCATACGATTGTGCGCGACTCGCTTTCTATGGTCTATCGTCGGACTGTTTCTTGAAATTGAAAACTCTGTCTCACTGATGAGACAAGATTTAATTTTGTAATTTAGTCCTTGCGTACTCTTTGCTTTGCGACAGCAAATTGCTGCAAGTTTAATTAATTCTTTAGTTTCAGTTTTTAAACTAATGTGTAACTTATTCTGAGAATACATTCTTAAATATCGTAGGCATGAAAACGTATCTTTAAAAAAAAATTTTTTCTTACTTTAATATATAAAAAGATACGTATTTTTTTATAGATTTTTCATTTAAATTTAGATATTTAATTTAGTATCGGATAATTTTCATAGATTTTAGGATTAAGAATGATTCTTTTCAATTGTATCCTAGATTGTTAGTGAAATAAGTTTTGACTGGATAATATTAGTGATTTATTGCGCCGTACATTTCTATGAAAGAAAGCAATATATCCTCGTGAAGTAGTCTAAATTACGTGTCGTGAATAGAGTGCCAATCATGCGGGTTAGATTGCCGAAAAGTTTCGAAATTTATCAGCCCAGTTAACGAGAAAGTTGCGTGAATCGTGTCGACGAGGTACTCTCTTAAAGTGAATCAGTGAAACATTATTGAAAGCAGTAAATATACATTAATTTACAGCTTCACTGAATATACACTGAAACTGCTCAGTGTTATACTTATAACTGATATCAGTGACTATTCACTGATTCACTTTAAGAGAGTAATGACGCGACAAAACTTCTGAATGGTAATATTAACGGTAATATTATGTAATTATTATGTAAATTACTATATAATTTTGTAGTAATACTAACCCTAAAACAATTTCGATAACCAAATATTAATATTAACGAAAATTCGAATTAAACGCTTCAACTCGACCGCCATTTTAGTACCGCTATGTTTGTTGACAAAAATACCCATGGCATATTTTTTAAGTTAAAGCGTCGGGAACACGTTTTAGACACTTTCCCGAGCGATAACACGTTTTTATGGAGAAAATAGCGGAAGAAGAAAAAATTAGTCCTAAAAACATGCGTTTTTATTTTATTTCGCAAAAATTTTGCATAAATTGCGATTTTTTTTAAATTTTCTTAACGCTATTCGATAGCGACATCGAAAATGGATTTATTTTGCAAAAATTTTGCATAAATTGCGATTTTTTTTAAATTTTCTTAACGCTATTCGATAGCGACATCGAAAATAGATTTATTTTGCAAAAATTTTGCATAAATTGCGATTTTTTTTAAATTTTCTTAACGCTATTCGATAGCGACATCGAAAATAGATTTATTTTGCAAAAATTTTGCATAAATTGCGATTTTTTTTTAATTTTCTCAACGTTATTCGATAGCGACATCGAAAATGGAATGGTACTCTTTATAAACAATAGACTTTATTTCCGTAAAATAAATGGTTCAAATGAACGTAAAATTTCAGCACGTTTGGGCGATAATGGGTTAAAGAAATTAAATTTTCTTAACAATAAAGCATAGATATATTCTTGGCGTATTTATATAGACCTACCGCTTGTAGCTGTGAGTATTCATTAACGTCGGTTTCGTATGCCCATTGCGCCACGACGTTAGCGCTGCATCTTTCCGCACCGAGAAAGTCTAATCTGGCTAGGATATTACGGACATCTAATTCGTTGGAGGGAAGTTGCCGCCCCGGACCGTCGGGAGCATCGTCTCTGTACTGTGGCAAGTCCAATTGAGCCGAAACCACCGACAACAGGCACAGTATAAGCGCTGACCATTTTATCTAAAAGTATCATACATGTTAGTTTCGTGCCTCTTGAATATTAAGACGATATCTTAAACAACAATAGTTAAGTGTTAATATATGCGATGAGCTGCTGATAAAAAACAAAATACAAATGATATTTTATCTAAAACGCGCGTTTTTCGTTGCTTCGTTCTCTCAGATTACATCAAACAAAAATTATAATTATATATATTATATATATTTGTTATGTTTAAAAAGTTGACAGAGATCGTAATTATTATCTAGATCTTTGATTAATAAAAACTTCAAGTTATACCAATGCTCACTATGTAATCTATTAAATATCTATTAAGATTTTAATGAAAATTTTAACAAATTCTGTATCGCCAAAATGTCTATTATTTATTTATATTGTGTAACAATGTCCGCACTTAAGTATTTTGTGTATCACTTGTGTTATTATTTCTAACGTTTGTGCGTGATAACGGAGTTGATAAAAGACACGTAAGCACAAGTAAGCAAATACTAAATACATATTCGTTATCGCTCAATACCAAAGTCAGGCCATAATTGCACGACCATTCAACTAAGAGGAACTTACGAGGGTAGTGAACTCGGTCGCTCCTATGTTTCGATTGATTTATATCGCCGACAAGGTACATGTGCGTGTAACTAGGTCAAATATATACATCACATATTACGCTTTGCTTATTATCTTCCATCTTTTGTGGAACTCCCGAAATTATTTAGTTAGTCATTTATACGCACATCGCTCTCTTTCCTCTCTGGTTCAATCTTATATATTTGAATCATATAAGTTTGTGATATTATCCTGTTGCCGCAATAACCTTTCCCGGTGGTTATTTTCTTCCTACGTACGTGAAAAAATGTTTCAAAAGCTCATACACCCCTCGTCCAATCTCATTGATGTACTGATATGAAGAAATAAAGAAAATATTTATCAGAAATTGTCGGAAGTGTTCTAAGATTCAAGAACTAGGTTACGAGTTATGTATAAGAATAAATATGTATGTATATATATAGCAACGAAACAATGCGTGTAGTGTAACAATGTATATAGTGATGAAATTGCAAGGAGAACACTTTGTGACATGTTATATTTATGTGGGTTTATGGACAATTTATGAAATATGAAGAGCGTTGTGTCGTGCAAGAACTGCCACGCCAATTACCGTGCAATTATTATGGGGAGGACACTCTTACGAGTTAATATGGAGATCTCATTGTTTCTTTAAATCACGCCATGACATGAAATGAGCGGAGCATTTACGTGCAATTCATTTGTTGGTCTCACGGTCACGTGTTACGTCTTGGCATTACGTATTTCCTCTTAGCATGAAAGGTATCTGTTTATGTGTACAGTAGTAGGTCATCTGCGACTGATCAAGATGCAATGACCTTGGTTTCATAGAATCGCGCTTATAGAAAAATATATATCGTCACTCAGATTGTTTAATTGATCGATCATCGTTTAGAAACTTAGAATATACTTCGCTTTGATGGAAATGTCTTTTAAAGTTTCATTGAAATAAAGTTCAATAATATTATCTGCAAATTGATGACATAACATTTTAATGAACATTAATTGTTTTATGATAGAATACTCTGTCTAATAATTGCTACCTATCGTAGTGAAATTGTTTAACGAATCACACATATACACACACAATGAAATATTTTCTTCATTATGTGAATTATTTTATAATAGAATAATAAAAATATATTTCATTATTAGTCATTAAGAACCCTTAATTAAGAACAATAATAAGATATTAACATTTCATATGAATAAATATAAAAAATATAAATAAAACTTAAAACAACAAAAAAACACGAAGTTTGGATGTACTCATAAAAGTAAAAATAAAGTGATATTATACTTGCTCGCGATAGAATCAAAGCATCTCATACCAAGATCTAACGAACAGAAAAATGACTCATAGATTCACTTAAGCAATATCCGTCTTTCATATTCTCCGTATGTTTATCTAATTTATATAATTTATAGTAACATTATTCTCAATTCATATCACGTCTGCTGAAGGTCTTAGCTTAATTAAAATTGCTCGAATCATATTTACAAATTTGTATTTACTTATTTCCACTTGAGTATAATTTAAAATTGCGTAGTATGTTAAATAACAGAAGGCAAACCGCAATGTTTCAGTAAGTGTAAAAATATACGGCCCGAAAGTGAATACTGAAAGCATTTCTTGCGTACTTAACTAGCACATGTGAACATCCTGACAAATCTTGCACATAACTATTTGAAAGATTCATTGACATAAACGTTTTGACACTCTTCCAAACTGGATTGTTTCTTCACTATTCTCTCGTTTACCTAACCACGTGTGTCTCCCATAACAGATTCATTTACAGCTTTTAACACTAACAGGATCACCTTCGTCATCTCACCGAATACAGAGCGCCATCTTATCTCTCTTGCAGTTTCTCTCATTTTTATCCCGATTTTCTCACATTTTACGATTTTGCATAACTTAACTAAGATAACGCGATATTATGGCAGGTACATCAAGATTACGTTGCTTTTCTTCACATAAAGGGTCCTCTTCGTGATCCTTCGCGAGATGAGGGATCACGATCCCTTTTAACACAGTACTTCCAACGTTAAAATCTGCATCACTGTAGAAGATTGCCACAATTAACATCGACGAAGACTTACAAAGCTTCGACCAGTGCGGTCCACATCCGACTTCCCGTAGGTTCTACTGAACACGTGCTCCATGTGCGTCGAAAATCGGATTGGTCGCAACCCCCGTCGGCGATCATATACGGTAGTCGATCGATGGCAGGTACACGCAACGATTCGTCGCCGACGTCGTCGTCGTACAAAATTCCGTTCCACCGATCGAGCACGACTAACACGAGCGACAGTTTCGTTCTGCCGACACTAAAAGCCTCGTGGCCGACGTCAAGTGTACATTTATCCCTGCGAAGCTGTTCGAACGCGACCACGGGGAGGTCATCCGTAGCGAAAAGTGGGGGATTCGTGTACACTTCGTTCGTGTCGTTGGTTCGTCGGTGACGCTGCTACCAGACCGATTGTTCGTGGGAGGAAGGTAGTCGAGGACGAAGAGGAAGATGAGGAAGAAAAGCTTGCTATTCATCTAATATGCGAAAGGTGCAAGAAGGAAAAGGGAAATTAATTTTGGACGAGAAAGTTCAGGATAGGACGAGGATGGAGAGCAAAAATGAGAGCTTCTAAAGTCGAGGAATGGCGAGGGGATTTTTGCTATCTGGAATCTCCTTCAACATTCCACGCGAGAGTAGAGGGTGGCGGGGAATGCCATATCTCGCGAACATTGCGTCAATGCGATTGAGAAGAGCGAAGAAAGAAAGAGTAAAAATGTAGGAGTGCCAGATAGCTATGAGAGAGGGAAATTGAGAGAGGTCGAGGGCCAACCGGCTACCGATTGCGACAACCTGAAGCTCTCACGTTGACAAGAGTTACTCGTCGACCCTCTTCAATGAGGCCCATTGTCTGTAGGAGTATGCGTCTGCTCGTTGCAATGCTGTAAGCATTACAGATTTGTTCTCGAAACCACTAATGGAAAAGCATACTAAGGATGAAGAAATTGTTCGAAATAAGAATAATAGAATTATTCATCAGCACGATTTAGCGATATACACCGTCGACTTGATGAAGAAACTTGTAAGTTGAAAGAGTAAGTGGAAATTTTGTCACAATTCTCATTCTTGGATACTTGCATGTGTGAAGTTTACTCGAATCGCGTTAATCAGAGAAAAGATTGTTGATGTATTTTTACTTGCGATGCGTTTTCACTTGGTTTTTCACCGATAAACTCTTAGGCCCGTATTAATTATTAGGCCGTAGTTATTACTTGAAACTCATCTCGAATGAGATACTTAGATTTGAACTCAGAGTTAGATAAAAGTTTTTCAGTTGAAAATCACAATTACATATATAAATATCATATATATTGTAATTTAACTGAAAAACTTGAATCTAACTTAAAATAAAAATTTGAAAATCTTACATGAGATAAATTTCAAGTGACAACTATTAATACAGGCCTCAATTTGTAAAATGTATTTTATTGTCGTTACTAAATTTACCAAAGCTATTGATTTATTGATTGGTAAATTGCTATTTCCAGCTGGCTCAGTATTACTGATATTGATTAAATTGATGCTTACTATATCAGCGCGCTGCTAATTGTGGAAACCATCTAGTTGAATTCAATACTTTCGGTTCAAACTGGCCATTTTAAAACAGTAATCAGTAAGTAACTAGTAATTAATAAATTCAAAACCAATAAAACTATAACGGCTCTAGAAATTAAAACAAAATAACAATATTATTAAAGACAATAAGAGCCAAAAATTGCTGGTGTTATGCGCTTATAACTTAACCATGTAAATAAAATAGAAATATACTAAATTAATTTAATTTAAACATTTCGACCATTGGATGTGGTCTTTTCAGTCGGTTGTCAATATCAAATGATGTCCATGTCATGAGAAATTGTAAGTTGTTATATTCTCAGCGTTGATAGTTGGTCGCGAAATCAATTCAATCAATCATATCCGTGTTTGCAGGCGCAGACATGAGCAAAAGGAGAGCTCTACAAATTCAACAGTCCAAGAATAGAAAAGACTTGTGGTCACAACACGGATACGTATTTTTCAGTCAGCGTTTGGAATAATTAAAAAACAATAAAACTATTTATATACTATTGTTTCTGTTTTATTTACATGGTTAAATTATAAGCGCATAATACCAGCAATTTTTGGCTCTTATTATCCTTAATAATATTGTTATTTTGTTATAATTAATACAATATATTATGTAAATTATGGCGATTAACGATCTTGATGTTTGCAATTATCGTAAGTGCTATATCTTGTACGAGATAATGGGAACTATGCTATTTGATGCAATGGGAACTATGTTATTTTATGATCCGCCTATTTACAAGGACGTATATGCGCGTATAGTGATCTTTCAAGGAACTTTTCGTTTCTTCTAAGGAGTTTTTCTAAGCTATGTTGCTGTGTGTGTATCGGCCCGGAATTTAATATTTATTTTGATAACTAGAGATTTTTTTTATTTAAGACTCCTGGGGAGTCGCATCATCCATCTCTTTTTAATGACGTCAGAAGCGAGAAAACGCATGCTAAAAATTCCTGCAAAATACGTCGAGATAAACAGATATATCCACAAAACGACATTTGCGATCGATTAAGTACACCTCTAAAATACTCCGTACACTTTCCTTTTGTTCTAACAATCAACAGATAATTATAAAATAAATGTGACGTGCAATCGTCTTTTCTAACCTAATTTCCTCATTATCTTGTCATATTAATTTTCCGATTATCTATTGATTTTTAGAACAAAAGGAAAGTGTACGGAGTATTTTAGAGGTGTACTTAATCGATCGCAAATGTCGTTTTGTGGATATATCTGTTTATCTCGACGTATTTTGCAGGAATTTTTAGCATGCGTTTTCTCGCTTCTGACGTCATTAAAAAGAGATGGATGATGCGACTCCCCAGGAGCCTTAAGTACAATTCTGTCATAGAGCATAGTTCTTTTGCAAGGAAAAACGTCCAGGATTTTTTGTGGAAATAACACGAATATTGTATGTAAGTGTCATTCACAGATGACTCGGAAGGGCGTGTACAAATGAAACATCGATGAATAGGTTCTACGAAGCATTGACTTAAAACTGACTACTACACAATTTTATGCGTTACGAAGTGACTCATCGCTTACGAGTCCGTCCGCGTAATTATACTTAATCTCGTCGAGGTATGACTGCATGAGTTGTTTCCTGAATCGAGCGGATTTATCTTTTCTTCGAGAACTACGGAGCCACTCTGTTAAATCTCACATACATTTATTTCGATACGACTTTGTCAGAACCGATCACAACTCGTATATTTATGACATCTTATCGTCAAGTAAATCGATAAATTTCGTATTATTTCTTCAACAATATTCGTCAATGTAAGAAGAAACTCTCTCAGAACGAATTAAAACGTTAGCTTAGTCTTGTTTTGATTCCTCCTATCGATGTAACAAAGTTAAAATATCTCTAGAAGAAAACTGCGGACGTATTAAAGTAAATTTCCGCTTTATCAAAATAGTTGATATAATTCATAACTCAGTTTCATAACCTAGTCACGTGAAGTTGGCACGTGATTTGGATCTGATCTGGATAAAGACGTTATTCCATATGCATCACAAATAAAGAAAAAAAAAAGTAAGAAATATGCAAACACGTGGCATTTTGCGGAGATTTGCGCTGTTACGCGATCACACGGTATATGGCCGCGAAATAAACGCAGATACGAATCAGTTTACGCGTATTAAACTCACTTGATCTTGAACTAGATGTTCCACGTCCCTATCATGCGATCGGCACTCGCTTTGACAGCGACTAACAGTACAGTAGCCACAACGTGGACTACTCCTAACGACTGTGATTAACATGACGGCAGTTCACGCGATAAAAAGCATAAACAACCGCGCCCAGCCTCTCCTGAGAGGATAGTCTCACGATGATCTGGAACGCACGTAATGTCGCAAATGGCCTAGGCCACTTCGCGAGACCTTGAGTCGCTATGGCGAAGTTCTTACGTGTACGCATATACTTATATCTGCATATTCCGTGCCATATAGTGCTCGTGTTCGCGTATGCAACGTGATATATACGTTTACATAACGCGCGCAAGAGCTCACATGCTCATCGCGGAGATATTGTATAATATAGGAAAACGCGACTCGCATAATTCGCTTTCAGATGTTTTTGAGAGTCTTCTGCGCGACGTGCCGGTGAAACGCACGGTTCGCTTGACATCCGCACATTTCGCGTAGAATTTACTAGCTGGAATGTAAAAAATGATTTGCGTCAATACGAATGGCTTACGTCGGTAAATCATTTCGTGCCTCTTTTTTATTCAAACTCGCGTCTTTTCAGCAGTCTCGCTGTTACGCGCAGGTAGCTAAGTTATTTATTCAAAGTGAGGATTATACGAGAGCCTTCTTTTATGAGAGATGCGTCTATATTAAAACAAAACTTTGAAACTTCATTAGCTTCTGCTAATTCCAAGTTCGCTGGTATCTTTATGTGTGATATAACTTTTGTTTTATACACACGGAAAAAAATAATTGGCTGCAGCAGCAAACTAATTTGCTACATATGGACAGTTAAATATAATTCGCTGTATTAACTTATTTTTTCTTTGCTGCAGGAACCTATTTTCTTGCTATAATAACAAGAAAGTCTGCTTCTACAAGAAAACTGGCTAACGTAGCGAATTTGCTAAAAAAAGATCTACTACATATGGATAACTAAACATAATTTATTGCTTTAGCTACTTTTTTTGTTGCAGGAGCAGATTTTCTTGTTATCATAGCAAGAGAAATTGGCTCCTGCAAAGAAAAAGTGGCTAATACAGCAAATTATGTTAGTTGTCCATATGTAGCAGATCTTTTTTTTCCGTGCAATCTTCTATTTTTATAGGTACGTCACGACAGTCATGAGTTCATGAAAGGATATAAAAAGGTTTCTCTCGAATCCTTCGCTGATCTCGTAAAATTAAGTCAACGTACACGCCCAGGGCATACGGAATTAAGTCTCGCCTCCAATGCCACGCGCACTCATTCGTCTTACGTGCAACCATACAGGTGTTCTGCTCAAGAGCGTGTACCTGTTCCCCGTGTGGCGGCACTTCGACAATGCTAATCTCATTGGCAGATAATACGTGCACCGGTCTCACGTACCGGCCGCAATTCTAGGTTCAAGTACGCGCGAATGTGTTCACTACGCGATTACAACGCGCAACCGTGCGTCTCTCGCGGCTCTTTTTGTTGCTTTCGGATGGGCCTTAATCGACACGATGCAAAAGGCATACGTATTATATGAGCGAAGAAGAAAGAGATGACGGTAGTTGATACTTGCGCAATTCGTCGTACTCTAATGCTAATTTAAGTGGCACGGAACTCGACGGAGTTCACGCGAAATTGGCGGAAATGCATTGAATGCCGGTATTCTCGATCGTTGTTATTCATATGTATGCTTATGGCGGATTCTCCGATTCCTTTCCCCAAGACAAGTAACTAACCTTGACGGTCCCTTAAATACAACCTTTTCTATTTCATTGACGTCACTTTCCGCTACCGGTTATCATATATCAGCGCTATTTTTAACGAGTCGTTGAGAAATGCCAGTTATGCATTTCTAACTTATGGTAATTGGCGGATACATAGTGTTAAATATTAAAACAACAGTACATGGTTAAGGAAAACCGACAAAATTATTAAAAATTAAATGAAAATCATTGTTAGGTCTGAAATAATTTGCAATATTGTATAAATTTCACCTTCCAAAATTTGTATCTTCATAAAATATCTTATAGTTTATTATTGTTTCTAACTTCTCTCTTTATTTATTCAGAGTTTATACTAACCGTAAATATTTCTTAATTTTTTAATAAAACAAAATTCTATTGTATTGCGACTCAAAATTATAAATAAAATAGTTTATTTATAGTTTACTATTATTACTAACTGCTGTCTGTTATGTTTTTTTTCAGAGCTTGAATTACAGTAATTATAAAATATTTCTAAAATTCTGAATAAAACTAAAAAAAAATTGTGCCGCGATTTACATCAGAAATATTATTAAAATTAACTAAAATGCATACTATCATGCATTTTAGTATTTTTGTAAATGTGTAATATAGAGTTAACTTTAGCAGGATATGCCTACATTACAACATAAGCATTAAACTACTTAGACATTTTCTCAAAGTGTTTCCCTCTTTGAAACCTTGGAGTTAATAAGGCGTGAGCTGTGTGCATCTCTGAACTATGAATTTTTTACGCGTAAGCTAACGATAACAATGCCGATCGTAACGTATGCCATTAATTATTTGTTTCGTGATAGCGGCGAGGAAACGTGGGAAAGTGTCGGGATGCGTAATCTGTATTACGCAAACTCGGTTAAGGATTATGCAGAGCGAAGCACGACAAGGTTAATCGGCCAGCCGTTGAAACGACTCGATCGATGTGCAGAATTCGGAAGATTGCGAGTGTCTCGTTAGACGTTTAAAGAGAGAAAAGAAGAGAAAAAAAATTGAAAAAACAATGCCACAATAAAAATAAGCTGTGCGACAAAACAGATTACGATTTCCGCGATGCGTTAAAATTGATTTCACGAACTCAATCGTGAACAATAAAAAGGCCTGACCTGATTATCGGTTTTCAAGGCGATATTGTCGACTCACCGAGAAACAAATATGCGGATATGTATACTGCGTGATATTACATAAACTGCTTTACGTTAAATAAATTGGCGAAACACATTAGACGCAAGTAATTGCGTGTGGTGAACACATCTTGCGTTAGGCAAATGCACGTTGCACTGCGCCTGTACTGAATGCATTAAAAAAGACGATTTGTATATGTAAAACTAAAATATTTGGTATACGTGACTTTTTTGGCTGACATTACCATTTTTTTTACTTGTGTCAAGTAGGATGTATCAGTGCAAAAGCATGTTTAAACATTTTTTGGTTGTGATTACCAAACATTTGGTTGATCCTATTTTAATTTTGCTCCAATGTACCAAATTTTCATTTTGACAACAAAGTTCTTTCTTTAGCGCGTCTGCCGACAAAATATGTAAACAAGGAAGTGAGAGCTCGAGACGTGTAATTCTGTACGCGCCATTTTTTATCTCGCCCTATTTAGAATGCAAATGTAAGTGAGCGTGATATCGTTCCATGCGCACTGCTTGTGACAGGTTGTGAGTCGCTTGGTCGAGTCTATTTGCGTTCTTGACTTTGCAAAACAAGCGGAGACGAAGACGATATGTAATACGAGACGAGCAGTCGGTAATTAATGTCACTGCGCGTGGCACCAAACGCGACAAAAATGCGTCTTAAAATTGATGGAAAATTATCAGTAAGTTGGGATTGTTATTGTTTTGAAATTGTTATTGTACAATTGACTTTATGAACGTAAATTTTTCGCGATGTAGCCGGTAGTGTGAAGCTTGTGCAACATATTTCTTCTCAGTGGAATAAATAAAAATCGTCAAAACAGGCAATTTTTTTCTACCAGTTCTGAAACTGTTAAATTGAAAAATGTTGCAAGCTTCTCGCTTGCTAGACTACTTAAGTGTATCAATGCATATTGTATTGTTACAAATAACGTTAAAGTAATTGAAATAAAAGAGTCAAATGACTGAAACTATGATACCTTCTCTTTATCTTAACCCTTACAATAAGGAGATTTCTGTATAATTAAATACGAAAAAAAATCAATTTGAAGAAATAGTTGTACAATCCAGGAAGCCACTATACTGGCGCGGAGAGGATGTTATGTTTTTTGCTAGTCTATTTTTTAATGTATATGAAAAAGTTCTACTTTAAAGACCGTAAAAAAATCATCCAAAAAATTATCCGGACTGTGAGGGTAAAGGATCATATCGAAGGTATTCGACGTGATGCGTAATTGCCTTCCCATCCGAGTATGGGACTTTTCGTGTGTCGCTGTTCAACCCGCGTGCTTAAGACGATTTCCTCGAAATATTACATAGTCATTAACAAGATTACTGCTTGTCGCCTGGTACTCACGACCCCGCGTACGTCTCTGAATCATGCCGATTGAGTAAGAACAAACCTTCTTTTTTCTTTTTTTTTGCTATTTTATATACGCGCAACGTGATATGTGTGCCGTGTGACTCGATGCGGCACAAACGAGAGATCGTGAAGAAAGGCTAAAACTCCATTTAACGACGACACATCGCGACATTGTGTAATGTTATAGAGTCATTAAAATTCGCACGGATAAGTTTGTAATACTCCTCATTGTAATCTTCTCCGCTGACTGTTAGCGTGAATCCCCCGTGAATTCCCTCATTTGTAATTAATTTTAACCCACCGCAATTGTGTGAAATTGAATTAATTCATTCAACGTGCATTTGCTAACGCGATCTTGATGTACAATATCGCCTGACATAAATCTTGAAGTAAAATATGCACCTACAGTGCATATTTCTCTACATTAACTAATTAATTTCATTTCTTTGCGCTTTCTAACAATGATTTCTTTCAATCTCGATTTAATATTCCTCGGAAATCGTAAATGCAGAAACATATAAAAAGTTTTGGCACAAGGGAACTAATCGAGAACAAAATCTTTTTGGTCCAGCGAGAGAGGTGTTTCTGGCCAGTAAGTAAAATTTGCTATAATTTTGCAGCGGCTTTATAAAGGTCAAGACCAAGATAAGACGCAGAGTTCATACGTGTGGCGTGCTTATTGGTTAAATTGCCAGTAATTATAGCAATGAAGATTGGCTTCAATGTCAATTTAAAACGCGATATATCCGGATTCGCATCATGAATATTACTTTAAGTTGAACGATATGATTAATTAGCAACGTAATAATTAATCTTATATTAAACATAATAATTAATCTTATATTGAATAAGAAACAA